CCCCTCCCCAATTGTAAATATTGCGTTGGGATTTTATACCATTTCAATTTTTTATTTTTTTTTCTTTGGGATGAACTCCAAATATGAACAGATTTTTCAGTCAAGTGCACAATTTTTTTAGATACACAAGTTGGTAGTTTCTTTGCTATCCTTTTCTCACCTATCCAAGACATACTTTTTATTACTTAAATGCTTATTATGTGCTTCTTTATGCAAAAGTTTTTGAAGCCTTATACTTTTTCTTTACTTCAATATCTTGAAACTTTCCATGTAGACTTAATCTGCTATGTTGTCTTGAGGGATGTACCTCCAATCTTTTGTATGGCATTTGAGACTACAATTTACTCTCCAATAGTTAATAATCTTGGGAGGCAACGAGTTACTAGTTAACTTAAGTAATTACTTTAAAGTTTATGAACAAACTTGCAAATGATTTGGGTAATTCTAGAATTCATAGCATATGTAACAGCAAGCTATACTGGGACACAGGATAAGAAAATTAGTATGCAAATCTGGAGAAATACTCACGCCATATGCAAGTCTTTTTTCCTTTTTCGTTTTGGAGAAATTCTCTACCAGTTTTGTGATATCAGCATTGAATTTGGACTAATTTCGTTCCAGAGAAACTCTTCCTCAGCTTTATTATCACATACTTAAATAAAAATTATTTGGTGATAAACATTGGCTGAATCCTGTTGTTGTTTAAGTTAGCAACGGTCTATTTTTGGTGTATGGAAGAAAAGCTGCAGGTATTAGATTTCGGACATAGCCTATTAGCCTTGAACGATACAATTATCGAATTTCATTATTAAAGCTAAATGAAACAATATGGGAGAAGTTTGTATTATTGGTATATCAGATGTGATGCTCCCTAAATCTTTTAATACGGATAGTGATCTCTTCAACTTTGCGAGGAGTACAATAAGCCATCGTCCCCTTCTTTCATAGAAACTTTCTCCAAACAGAAAACAACACCTTTTTACACGCCATGGTCGGCAACCTAGGATGCTAGGACTAGCTGTGGGTTTACCCTCGGTCTTCGAAGCATACAATACTTATTCTACAAATAACCTTTCCTACCCCCAAAATATGGGGGGAAACTAGAAATAGTCAGATTTACAATTAGTAATTGAAAAATAGCTACATTTTCAAAAATAATAGAAATTTAGCCATTTTTTTTATGTAAAGATAAAATCTGAACAAAAATATTATTAAAAATTCGGAAAAATTTCAGCATAATATGCTGGAATTTAAATTTTTTACATATGAGATTCCAGCATAATGTGGTGGAATTTTTGCACCACATAATATAATATGCTGGAAGTTTATACGCAGGAGCTCCATAATCCAACATATTATGTTGGAACTTTTTGTGTGTTGGAGTTCCAACATAATTTGCTGGAAGTTTATATGTAGGAACTCTATAATCTAGCATATTATGCTGGAACTTTTCGTGTTTCAGTAAAATAGTAGTTATTTTTCAATGATTTTGCAAACGCTAGTTATTTTTGAATTACCAGTCCAAAAATTGAGTAGCCTGAGCTATTTTCACAAAATAAGGATTGAACTAAAGGTGTCTAAGGGGTCGGGTCGACCCGGTAAAAGATCGAACTGGCCCAGCCAGTAAATAGGGTGGAGATGAGCCATTCATCTCTTAATCGAGGGCTGTATCGGTTAAATTTTGGTTATTGGATCACCGAAACCGGTAAACCTGGTAAGAACTTACAGTTCCTTAACGGCCTGATTCAATGGGTATTTTTTTAAAAATTTTACACCATTGGCAATGGTCAAAAGTTGATTTGATCATTGCCCGACGGCTATTTTTTACAAAGTCGGTCATTTTGGCCTCCAGAATTTAAAATAGCTCTCATCCATAGAAATTAAAAATTACAAACTTACCCATTTGAAAACTATAAATAGCCCCCTCTTCTACATTTTTTTCCCTACCTCTCAATTCTAGTTATTTGCTACATTTCTCTTCAATTGCTATCAACTATTAGCTCTCAATTGTTAGTTTAATTTTATTTATGGTGTAACTACCAAGTACCAAATGCAAGTGTGCTATTGTGCGAGTTTATTTTCAAAATTTATTTTCAAGTATTCAAATTAGTTTGGCATTTTGGTACACTCACTCCATCTTTTAATTCTCCTCTATTTATTTTATTTTATTATTCTGAACTATTAAATTTAGTGATGTTTAGAGCAGCTAAACGAGCTTTTACTAGTAGGATAGTAAGGATAGAAAAATAAGAGGTTCTACTTCTAGCACTAATAATGCATATAGTTATACACATGTTTTTGAAATGTTACCTGATATAAATTTAGACTATGAACAACTATAAGAAGACTAGTAAGGATAGCCCAATAACATTGCTAAAAAATAGAGTATCATTATAAACAAATATAGGGAGAAATTTAAAAATAGCCAGATTTACAATCTGTCGTTCAAAAATAGCTCAGTTTTAAAAGTAATCGAAATTTAGCCACTTTTCATGTAAAGATAAATCTGAGCGAAAACACTGTTCGAAACCCGGAAAATACGCCAGTATATTATACTGGAGTTCCAGTATAAATATGCTTGAACTCCAGCATATTATACTGGAGTTCAAGGATAAGTATGCTGGAACTCCAGCATAATATGATGGAGTTCCAGTATAAGTACACTAGAACTCCAGCATCATATGCTGGAGTTCCAACAAGTATAATTGTCCAGTATAATATACTGGTGTTTGGAGCACCGGTGCTCCAGTCTCCAGTATATTATACTGGAGTCAGCAAAGTATACTGGTCCAGCATAATATGCTGGAGTTCATACACAGGTGCACCGAACTCCAGAATATTATGCTTGACCGGTCTCTGTTGTAGCAACATAGTGGCTATTTTTCATTGACTTCGTAAACGCTGGCTATTTTTGAATGACCAGTCCGAAAACTGGCTATACCGTGCTATTTTTACAAAAATATATATCATATTATTATCGGTCCCAAACTATTATCTGAAAAATAAATTTTAAAAGAACTTATTTCACGATCAGGTTGTGTTAGATAGCATGACAAATTTTTATCAAACTTATATATACTGTCTGATATAAATTTTAACATCATATCTAACTTTAGTTTTCATACAGAGCCCGTTTGACTTAGCTAATTTAGAGTAGCTGATAAGCATCATGTGCTGAAAAGCATTTTTAAGTGCTGAAATTGATTTAAAAAATAAGCAGTTATGTGTTTGGATAAAAGTGCTGAAATTAATAATATGCAGTTGAAGAACTGGGTATACGAAGAGTTTTGTTTTAAAAAGAAGTATTTTAGGGATAGAATAATAAATATTTTGGTCAAACTTAAAGTGCTTATAAGCTAAAATTTGATAAGTTGGGGGAGACCAACTTATGGCTTTTGGCTTAT